GCCGATCGCACCAAAAGCTCTCCGACATTCCACGACTCAAGGGTGCCCCTTCATAAGACGCACGCGCACGCACCTTCCCGCTGTTGAGGGTCTCCCACGCGAACTCCTCGATGGTCTCGTGCGAGACCTTCTTACCCTTCGCCTTGAAGTGTGCCTCCAAGTCCTGATCGTGTGCGGCAAAAAACAAAAAAAAAGTGGGATTAAGCGTGATAATACATACACCAATACTGGGGGAATTTTGTATGGCTGCCTGCGCGTGCGAGAATGCTTCCCGTCATTCTAAAACCGTTGCATTACACAGCATCAAAGACGCGCTGTCATTGGTGCTTAGCCGGATCGAGCTAACCATGCGCAATTCGCTTGGCCTGCCGTGACTTTCCCAACGGGGTCGCTCATCTCCGAGCCTCTTCCCGGCACACCCGTACTTTTAGCGGCAACAATTTTCAATTTTCCTCGTATCTCCTCAAGCTGAGATGCAGCAGCAGCAGCAGCAGCAGCAGCAGCAGCAGCAGCACGCGTCAAAGCGGAGATGGTGGGAATCAAATAACAATCTACTTCAAACTACGACACACCCAGCGGCTCGAGCTCTCTCACCCCTCAAGCATCAGCGCTGCTGTAGCCCGGAGGGTGGGCAATCGCTGGAAACAAAAGCATCCATAAAGACGCTGGGTGGTAAAACTCATCTTAGACGGGAACGCCAAGAAAGCCCGCAGCTGTATTCGTCCCTCCGTTTCGAAAGGAAACATACGTGCGGGTCCATGACGAAAGCGGCACAAGGCAAGCAAACAATTAACACCCAATAACAACAACAAATAACCCCGGACCCAAAACCCCCTACCAGCTGTTTCAGGTGCAAAGTCGCTGCGGTTGTCCCTGTGTTCGCGGTTGCCAGTAGAAATCGCCGTTGCTCTCGTTGCTGATGGCGGGTTACAGTAACAGAGCGCAGATACTTCTCCGCCTAGATTCAACTTTCTGGATGCGGCTCACCTTGATCCATCCCAGCACTTCCTGGTTCGCCAGTCCGTGCAACGGCCCTGCCAACGCGCCGATCCCCGCGGCGTACGACATGTATGCATCTGACAAGGTCGAGCCGACCAGGTGCGTCGCGTGAGCAGAGGCGTTACCGCCCTCGTGATCCTAACAACAAAACAAAACAGGCAAGGAAAGGCACATCGGGTACGAATGACAATGTTAGGACCCGCGCAGAGCGAAAGTCGGGGGCGCGGGGGGGGAAGGGCCCAAGCAACCCTGCCACGGAAAATTTCTCATAAAAAAAATCCAGTACATACACAGGAGTGGTAGACGTCTGAAACACGTCCGTGGTCCGTGAAACGCCAACAGAGTATCGTTATCAGGTGAGTGGCAAGCACCAACAACTCCCGAAGATAACAAGAGGTGGAGGAAGCAAGGCCCAATTCTCACCGAGTGGATGACAAGGTAGAGGCGCATGAGGTCCTGGAAGGACTTGTCGTCGTAGCCCATCATGGAGCAGTAGTTACCCGTGTAGTCCAGGCTCAGGTCCTTCTTCACCACGCCGTCCTTGAACTTGCAGCGGTAGATAAGGGCGGCAACCTCGGGCATCTTCGCAATCACGTCCAGAACGTCTTCGTAGGTGTGCTCCCAGTACTCCTGTCAAAGGTTGTTGTATCGAGGTTTCAGTTAGGCCCACGCGCCGCGCAAACATGCAAGAAAAAAAACAAAAAAACAAAAAAATGCACAGAGGCAGAGGACGTTTTCTGCGAGCAAAAGGCAGCCCTGACACCGAGGGCGCGCGCCAGCTGGCAAGTGGCGTGTACATTTTCGCCGCTATAGTCAGCGTAAGTTTACGCGACAGGGTTTGACTTTTGTAAGAGACGAGCCAGAATGAACGACAGGTCGCCGGCCCGGGTGGGTAGTGCCTTGACGATTAGTCGCCTTTTCTCATGTGACTACGAATATGACCAGGCGGGGGGGGTGGCAGGAGCACCAGGAGGCGTGCTCTCAACATAATAGCAACCCCGATGTCTGCGAGAGTCACACGCTAGCAAGCACTTGCACGAAACGTCTGTTGTATGCTGAGTACACTGACCTTCTTGCTCACGCCCTTGGCGTACGCCTTCGCAAATTTGCTTTCCGTCTGCGCAAGGCCGAAAAAAACAAAGAGGTGGAAAACCAGCCAAACGGAAGAGAGAGGGGACGCAGGCAAGACAACAAAGGTATCAGGGAGGTCAGTAAAACAGATATGGCAGCGACTACAATGAAAGCAGTGCATGTCAGGCAAAAGGGTACAAGGACAGGCGTGGGGCTTCGACTCGCTCTACTGCCTTAAAAACAATAACAACAATTATGAGGCAACAGCAGTACTACCACTGCTACCGCTCCACAACTCGCAACAGACCTCTACCCATAGGACCGCCTGACCTGCAACGCGAAGAGAGCGGCGCCAAACATGCTCATGGCGTGCATGTCCTTGGGGAACTGCCGGATCATCTCCTCCACGTGCTTAGGGATGCCGGAGCGCTTGTGGAGGTCTGCGGTGAGCTCGTCGACCTGCCGTGTGGTGCCGCGGTGTTGTGCGGTCAACGGAGTCGCATGCGGAGACAACGTTACGCTCAGCGAGACCCAAAAGGCCACTGGTGTTCAGTACGAGGTACTGCCGTCGCCAACTTCCACTCTCCTAGATGGAGACAAAAAAAAGTAGCATGTATACTGTAGCGTGCAATTGCTTGCATGTAGTACCCGAGCGCGATGTGGTAGTACCAATTGTGCCTCTGTCAGTGCAAGATCCAGCACCTGCACTTTTGTACCACCCCCCCTCCCCCCCTCTACACTACGTGTCTCTCCGTCTCGTTTGGTATCTACGCACAGGCCCCCCATCTCAACTTCTAAACTCTTCGTCCTCCATGTCCAACCTCGGGTTCTGCAAGACCCAAGCCTCTCAGATTCGGTGTTGTACTGGGGCAATTTTTCTGGTGTGTGAACGTGTGAGGTGTGCAGGGCACACCTGACTCTCTTCTCGAGGGAGAGGCACACGGGGTAAGAAAGGGTGGTAGCCTTCAACAACTAGCTTGTCCGCTATTCTTGTGCGCAGGCTGGTGGACTGGTCCTGTGATACCTTGTTGGCTTGTGTACGCCGGCGTTGATCGGCTGGCTCTCCAACATTGGGTAATTGCCGATGGTAAAGCCGATGGCGGTCTCAACTGAGGAGCTCTCGTAAGAGGCATTCTATCGCGGCATGCAAACCAATGCAGACACACTGTACTCCCATGGTGATTCATTCGGCTTGACCAACGAGTGCAGACAGAAGACGCTGCTCGCCTTCGAGCGCTGCCTGCCTATCCGCCACCCGCCGGCACCCCGGTGAAGCGCCGAACAGCTGTAAAAGCGACAGCAAACTTCGCTCGAATCCAGACAACCTTCCACGCTCATCTCTCGAGAAAAAAATACACTTCTCCAGACAAGTTGCTTGACTCAAACCTAGGGAGGCATGGCATGCTCCCGGCAGCTTGTCTGGGGTCGAGGCAGCGGTGAACTAGCCTCTTTTTTCACACAAGAGAATATTACAGTATCATTTTTCATGTGTCACCTGTGCTTTGGTTGGGACTTCTCCCGTGAGCAGCAACCACAGCAGCGCCTCCGGCATGGGCTCGCCACCCTCAGTGTACCCAGGGAGCTTTTCCTGGCAGTCTGGGATGGTCAACCCGCGGAACCGGATTCCCTGTCGTCATTTATGCGAGCCAACGAGAGACGAGAGCAGAGAGAGGGAGTGAGAGTGAGAGCGGAAGAGGGAATATAGATAGGCACCAATACGACGGTGCTTAGGTAGAGGGAGCGAGGGTGCGAGTAGCGAGTGGGAGGCTGGACAGTGCCGTTCTCACCACACGCACGCCCCCGTATCACACCAACCATTTTATCCAAAGTCTATTAATACGCACTCCACTGCCCTGATTCTTGATCGAAACAGCACCTGTCCAAGACAGGGCAATCCTAGGCCCGCCGCTGGCACCCAGGGTGGATTGACACTGTGTAATCGTGTTCATTTTCAGAGCCAACCTCTCCTTGAGGCAAGGCATGCTCGACACTCCCGGGTGCTTGGTACTTTTTTGTGTTGTGGTTGTTACATTTCGGTGTTTTGCTTCGGCAATCTCCTAGAAAATGCGGCAACTTGTCTAAAACTACGCTACCGCCTTTTTCGGGTTCGGAGAGGCTTTTAGACAATGACTGTTTAACTTTTGCCATAAAGAAGACGTCCGTCCCGACCTTTTGGCGCAACTGCTGTTGCAGGCACAGACGCACACATCCCGCCACCGAACAGACGCAAGGCAGGCTGCAGAACATACAACACGCACCGTAGGCACGCAAGGCCCATTTCCTCAACCATGGGGCCTAGCCACGGAGGGTCATAGGTACAAGTACACATGTAAACACTGAAGCGACGCCTTTATCGATCCCCAACGGAAACGGACGGAGAGGATATGGATGAGATCGAGTATGAAGGGACAGTTAGTAGCGTCCTGAAACCTCCGGGGCTACAGACCTAGACCGATCGTGTCCTTCCCCTGTCGTTCTTCGCATCTGACCGCCAGTTGCTACTTAGTAGGAGAGTGCGTGGGGCCGTTGGGGCCGCAGCTCGCTGCCGTTGCCGAAAAACACTTCGTGCTCGCTCGGGTATCCGACGACGCAGGAGGAGGGGCGGAATCCCGAGGCAGAAGCCGCCCTGGCTTGCACCGTTCGGTGCAAGCCGCCGTTCGTGCACTTGAAGTCGGTAGTGTTTCGACAGGGTGTGTGTTTGGGCGTAATTGTGGCATCTAAAGCGAGCTCTCTGACCCCGCAAGCAGGTGGTGCCGCCCGTTTAGGTATAAACAGATCGTTCCTCAAATTATTCCGAGTCAAAATGCCCTCTTGCATATATCGGGAAAATAATATCCAGCCGGGTCGTGGTACGGGAATTTCCTCCTAGCTTTTACAGCTCAATTCGTGGGAATGCTACATATTCCCAGGACCGTCGAGTTTGAAACGCACCTGCTGCGGCTCTTCGCAGTTATTGCGCAACATGAAAACCGAAGAAACAACCAAGTGATCGTGTTTCCACCAAATCTCTCCGCACACCGTCCGAGGCGCAAGGCGTCTACACTGCCGCGTGAACAGCGCCCACTACCACCGCCACCACACACCCCCAATCAGCTCACCTCATCCGCATCGAGGTTGGATGTTTCCCAGATCATGCTCTTGATGCCGCGAGCTCCTCCGATGACCTGGTCGATCGTGACCTGAGACATGGCGGGCGGTAGCATACAACGGCGGTGTATTTTTACGATAGGTGCCGCCGTTTAGTGTATGTACGGTAGTCGTTGGGCACGGCGAAGGGCGGACGGAGGTACATGAAACGAGCGCGACAAGCTAAAAGAGCTTAGACCTGGTGGTATGAGAGCTTGGTTAGTCCTCGCTCAATGTTCCAGGGCGGCTGGTTCCAGCCAGCGCCGCCGCCGGTGCTCGAGAAGGACGTGCGACCATGGTCCGTCGAAGAAGCGAAACTTCACTTTGTGGGAAGTGCTACATGCGATACCGGCAAAGGGACACAACAAAGAGGAACACACGGGAGTGCCTCTGGCGGTGAAATAGCACAGCAGTGGGCACCCACGCTGCGGCATGGTCAATGGCCAAGCCCAGCGCTTCCTAGGGTGCTGGGGGGGGGGGGGGGGTGACGGATATGATCAGCCCTTGGGCGAAATGCGGCTGCCGGATGGGCGGGAGGGGTAGCGCTCGCAGCTGGTTGCGGTTCGTCATGTACACCACGTGACCGGTTGGCATGACCTACCTCTCCGACGGACTTGTGGCCATGTTCCTTCTTGAGCTTGGCGAGCTCCGCCTGCTTGGCCGGGATTTGCTCTGCCAGCACGTTCTTGAGGGTGGACAGCGACCTCTCGCCGCCGGCAAGGCTGCGGAAGGCGCCCTGCCAACAAGTGTGTGTCGGAAGAAGGGTGTTGGTTGTGTTATGTGTGATAGATATCACGTTATAAAATGGTCTTTGCATCTCTGCACTCTGCACCGCTCGCTGCTGTGTGCACCGGGTCTTGAGAGCCCTCCCCATCCATGGGTATCTCATGGCAATCCCTCCAAGGAAGCCAAAGACAACCGAGAGGCTGACGCCTGCACACGCATATGGGTGTGTGCAGCAGCAGATGCAATTGCACGGCGATTGTGTCGGGAGTCGGGAGGTTCCGTGCGTGATCGATATGCACACAGCAACAAGCCGTGCTGCCTGCTCGAATAAGCTGCGTGTTCCTTGTGGGACAAAACGATGATGGACAACACACACAAGCAAGGCGACCAGCACGCAAAGAACAAGCTCTGCACTTACCTTGGATGCCCTCTGCGTTAGGATGCGCAAGTTGTTCATCTTCTCCTAGCGTTCACCGAGACGTGCTGAATGGTATTTGCCGGGCGTGTGTGCGACGGACAGCTCGGTTTCGGAGACCTTCCGATGATCCCCGTTCCCTGAAAAAACGACCGAAGGCATGTTTCGTATTGTCGGAGAAAAACGAAAAAAAACAACCTACTGCTGTTGTACCTACCAGGGGATCATACCACCTTCTGGCACAACTGACGCGCGTGGATCCCCTGGCACAACCTCGCTTGTTTTTTATGTTTTTTTTTTCCTCCTCTGGGCACCTATGCATACGATGAACATATATATGAACTACATGCCGTTCACAGGTCTAGACAAGAATTTGAGTCCATATTTTTTCCCTCGCGACCAACAACACCTGCGATTTTCCGGCAATAAAACGCAGCGAAGATGATGAGTTTTTTTGTCCAAAGTTCTTCTTCCTTCCATGTTGTTGTCGTACAAACAAGCTGGGCCAGCCAAGAAGCTCACTTTTCGTTGTTTCGCGTCTCACGCTGCGGTTTCTACGAGTTTAGGCTTGAAATTTTGTGGGTACTCTAAGAAGACAATAGGGGAAGCGCCGGTGCCAGAATTTTTCGAATCTGAGTTGATTTAGGCATTAAATGCTCAATTGGCGGTGTAGTGGGGGCTACTGCCGGTACTGAAATCAGCATAAAAACAGTTTTACAGAGTAATCAAGCCGAAATTTGGTGTGCACTTACCTGAGAGCATTGCGAGAACAATGATGGTAGATACAAGGCTCGGGTCATCTTCCATCAAACGTTATGGCCTCGTAAAGGATCCTCTACAACACCCAAGATACTGAGGAAAAGTGAGGATATCGCGATTTCCCACGCGGTTTTTACGAATCAGAACCTGCAATTTTGATTCGGCATCGATCCGCATGAGTACAAAAAAACAAAGCCACTGCGCCATTTGGATTTTGTTTTTTGTCACTTTGTCCCAAAACCAATATTCCCAGATTTACAATAATAGGGGTAACTCATGAAAAAAAAAAACAATCCAAATGGCGCAGTTGCTTTTTTTTTTGTACTCATTCTTCATGCAGATTGATGCCGTCTCAAAATTTCAGGTTCTGATCCGAAAAAACCGCGCGGGAAATTCGGTCCAACCGTGAAATACGCGTCTTGGCTGGACCAGCTTGTAGCCGTAAATGATGAGTTCCCACTATTCGATCGAGTCCACTCTTACCATGTACATTCCAAGTACCAAGACCTGGTAGGGAGTATTAGAGAAGCGCGGTCATCCGTGATAAATTATCGCGGCCGTAGGTGAGCAGCACCGGCAGTGTTACACGAGGGGGGTCTTGCCCAGATCGCAGGCAGGAGACGTGTTTTCTTTTTCACGGTGAGTTTGGTTCTTCTGAAGACGTGATAATGTGTACCTCCCCCCATTGCATCCATTCATGCTTCGCTCGCTCGAATTTTTTAGCACGAACTTCTACAGGAGTACGCGCCAACAACCAAATTTGGCAGTGGAAAAACCAACAGCGTTACAAAGTTGGTGTGATAGCCCCGTCAACATTTTCTGTTGAGGTGAAGGCACATCTGCACAGCGTGTTGAGGTGTAGTTCAGAACAAAAACACAGACACCGTACGTGACACTCTCGGGCAGAGAAGCGTCTGTACCACGAGTGCACCCAATAAATTGCGCTCGGAGAACACAACAAACGGACAACAGAGAGCGGGCAATCGTTGGGTGTTGCGAACTCCCTTTCGTGTCCGCTTCGGTAACCAAGCCGACCAAATCACTTGGCTGAGACCCGATGAAAAAATATAACAGAGGAAGATGTGTCGCGTGTGTGCCAGAAAGTTTAGTGCGGAGACACGAGTGACACACGCGGACAACACCGCACCACGGCTGGGTGCAAGTGTCTCGCGTTCAACCACCGCGTCTGCTTAAACAGCGGGCAAGGACCGAAGGCACGCCCTCTACCTGCTAAAAAACTTGGGTTCCCCACTCGACGAGCAAGCAGTAGCCCGACATTCGCCGTCGCAAGCTCTACAATCTAAACTTGGAGGAACTTCGCGCAAGCAACCATCCACACGTGGGGGGGTCAATCTGTTCCAACCACTGAAGCAGTTTGGAATGCACGTCAGTGTTCCACAACGCAACAAGCGCTCTCCCTAGCCTCGTTCTACGGTGGGAGAAGAATCCTAGGCTAGAACTCCCAGGCCACGGGCGCGCGTAAGAAAACAAAGGTTCCCATCTACAAATCGTAAAGTTCTAGAAGACACACGACAAGCAAAAGCGCACACACCTTCCTCCTGTATCCCTGACGTCGTGCGGCCACTACCACCTCAGAAAACATACACTCGCGTGCGCACCAGGAAAAAAAAAGAGACAAAAACCAACTCGTCACGATGCAGAGTGGGAAGAGAGGGAAGGAACGGCCGGTTGAGACTGCTACAAAACCACCATCCCCGCCCCGCACACCTCTGACACAACCTAAAAAAGGGGGGAGGAGAGGGGGGGGTTCGTTTCCTCATTAAAAAATAGCTTAGTGGAACTGGGTCGACCACTCGTAGGTGAGCTCGAGGGGAGACTTGTCCGGCACCAGCAGCTGCTGAATAAGGATTGCCGCCATCGCCCACATGGCCAGGCGGCCGTGCTTGAGCTCGGCGAGCGCCCACTTCTCGTTGATTCCGTCCTTGGACAGCTTGAGGGGGTCGAACCCGATGTCGCCGGGCACGCGCCCCTGCTCGATGTCGTACTTCGTGCTCTGGAGATCGAAGATGCCCACGAACACCACCACCTGGAGAACCGCCAGCCACGGCGCGTCGGCCACGGCCTGGAACAAGTTCTTTGTCGGCGTGTAGCCGAGCCCGGGGAGCACGCTGAACTCCTGCCAGATGGCGCCCACAACGCCAAGCATGGCCACGCGCCCGTGCTTGAGCTCCGCCCTACGGTACTTCGCGAGGTCGCCCTACCGTGCAAGACAGACAAGCATGCCATCGATGTTGAGAGGGAGAGGGGGGATGGGGGTAGGGGTGGCGGTGACGTGGCACGCTCGAGAGGCAAAGGGGGCAGAAATGACCAGGTTGGCCGATGTGGCTGACAAAATTTCGTGAAGGGTAACTACTGGTCGGTTTGCAGACGAAACCACGACAAAGGATCACATCCATTTTCACGGGCGTTGGAAAGTTCGGTGGAACAAAACGCGAGGGAAGAGAATAAATCTGCAAGTGTACAACGCGACGCTCGTTGTGCAATGACCGAGGATGTATACCGAGGCGGAACGCAACACTTGCCTAGCCTCCTGCAGTCTTGTCAGGCGGATACAGAACTGGTATTCGTGGGTGTACAACAATAGTGTCTTCCCCAAAACCGAAACAATTTGGGACTCAGCACAACACACAAAAACGGCAAGTGTTCCTTGCTGGTGTTGACAGTACCGGCTGTGGCTTCGGACGAATTGGTTTGGATCAAGCTGTTGTGCAATGACCTCGCCGCGAAAGCAACAATAAAAGTCCTCACAGGAGCACACTACTGCTTATGTTCAATCAAGGGGCGTGTAGACCGCGCATTTCAAACTTTGAGCCACTTTTTGTCAGCAGCCAGTACCTGCTGGAGGCCCGTTTGGGCCGTTCAAATTGAATCTCAACCAAAAATCGGGAGTTGTGTGCAAAGAGGATGCCGGCATCTGTTCTGTTCACGAACAACTCTTCAAACTCGGAACACGGTGCATGCAAGACCACCAGAGAAAAAAAAACAAAAAACGGTGTACTCCGTGAGAGAGGAAGCTATGTTTGCTCTCGCGGCGCTGTAACTACACGACATCGTGCTTCTACGGAACAGGCCGGAATGAGCAGCAGATGTGTGCCGTGTACATTGCTCACGGGAAGTGTGGCAATCGCGTACGTGCAGTTTACACTTGCAGACATCTGTCCAGCAGCGGGTGGGAAGGGGACGGTAACAAACTAAAGAATTGCTACTTCTCAGGAGAGGAGTCGACTGTTTGATGAGTCCTGTGCGTGAACAAGGGACCAAAAAACAACAGCCGCCCGAAATCGCCCGCTTCGCACATGCACTGCTATACGACAGATAAGGAAAGCTTCACATTTCCGGGGTGGGCGACCGGAGGATCGACTACAATTCACCAACTCGCACTTGTACAGCAGTGATGCCCAGCATGCGTTTTCTGATTTGGCGGCATCTCTTCCGCGTACAATTGACGGCGCGTGTCTGATGACTGGAGGCTAATATAGTGGCATGAGGGCGAAACTTGTGCAACTTGAGACTTTGTTACGGCAGTTTGTGCTTCTGCTATGCCGTTGTTGACATCCGTCGCGATAGGAACAGGTGCGTACCGGCAATTGGATACCCCGACGCGGTACACCTACATGGATTCTCGGTGCTGCTACAATTAAATGTTCAGTAGATCGAAGTCTTCGGCATAGACACGGCGTTGAAGTAAAGGCGCACCGAAACAGCATCGAATGAGGCTAGACGCGGGCTCTTGCGCGTGTTCGAGACGTACCCGTGAAATACGTACAGGACAGAACCGAGAAAAGTCCCTGCTGTAGTAGCCAAAAGTCAGGTATTAAGCTCCCACCGAGGGCGAGTGTGCAAGAATTGTGCTATCGGCCTGATGAAAAGTATAGGGTCCAGCAATATACAATCGGGACCACCAGTGCTGCTGTGTTCGTGTGCCATGTTGTATGCTACAGGGAACAACGAGATATAGATCCCTCCGTAATACGTGTCCACACATCACAAAGCAAACACATTGGCACGTGAAAAAAGATACCATGTATATTGCACGTGGGTGTGGTTACAGCAGTTGTCTGTCCCTCCAATAGGGGATGGCTGCGTCATGTTTGAAGACTCCCATTAGGCCCGCTACACATGACTCCATCCGCAACACACTGAAACTTCATCAATAGGCGCCCGTGAGTCAAGATGCGAACTTTTCTTACCTCCTCCGAGAAGTTCAAGGGGTCGAATCCGACGTCGCCCACAAGCTCCCCGTTGAGGTTCTCCGGCCGGGGCGTGAAAGGCAGCGCGATCGATGCGTCGGGGTCAGCGGCCATCGACACCTGTTGGCGGCGAGTTGAGCCACCGGGACGCCAGCCATCAGCAAGGGCAAGCAATCGGGTTTTGAGCAATGGCAGTGGGAAGTCAGCATAGTGTTAGTGTATACAACCAAGAGATGTCTTTCTCCAGGTTGCCCTTCCTGCTATCCACATTGAGGTCGAGCGAACAGGGGTCTTACACACGATCGGTGCTTGGGGCGTACACGAACAGAAAAATGCCTCCAAAAACGAAAAAAAGGTACGTATGCAATGTATGCTACAACTTCATGTCCCGTGTCCCGAGCCACATCATTTCTCACGAGAGCAAAAAAAGCGGTGCATGCATGCTTGTGTCATGCATGTACCCTGTTGACGATTTGCGTCAGGCGAACAATCACTCTCGCGGGCTATCGGTAGAGCCCCTCCCAGCTGCTCCGCCTCCCCCCTTCCCGCCTGCCTGGCCTGCGTGGCCCAGTTCGCAACTTCAGCGAAGGTGGGGACAGCGCTCCTTCCCTCCTGTTCCCTCCCTCTCTCGTGCCGTGGCCCATGTTGACCATCTCGTAACACTTATTGGTACACTTCTGGCCATAGCGTTCACACACGTAAACTCAAGGACACACCAAACCGGATCTGACACCAAAGATGCCCCAGACACAACCACGCATGCTACGGGCGGGGAAGCCGCTCTTGAGTCCACGCCACAGGAGATTCAACCGAACACACCATGGGCAAACAGAGAAGTGTCAGTCAGATGAGGAGAGGGCACACATTCGCGGAGTACCTGTCGCGCGGATCTGGATGCGACGCGACCCACAACGGCATTGGGAGTGACGAACGCGTTCGACCCAACCGCACCGAGAGCGAGAGCAGCGATGGCAGACTTCATGGTGTTCGTGGAATATGTCGACTTGTAGAGGAGCGGAGACTAACACGGTCGGTTCGTTTACACGGGAGGGTGAGGCAGGTTGCATGAAAATCTTGCCGTAACGCCTTCAGGGATGAGGGGACATGAGAGGCCCCGTAGATGGGATTGGTCCAAAATGTTTTTTTTTTTTTGCGCTGGCGTGCACGAGGTCGCTCTGCTGCTGCGATCCGCTCTGCTGCTCTGTGTGATGATGTGCGCGCTGACTCAACAGAAGACACACACTAGGGTTCACGAACAGTATAGGACATACACCATTTAAATAGAGTATCTCAGCCCGCGTTCCTGTATGTTCTCCATTGTCGTCCGTCGAGATGTAACGGGGTATTGCTGCTATTTATTTATCATTTACCAACCGCCGCTCGTGGGCATTTTTCATGCTCAGTTGTCGGGGGTGTAAATAAATTGCATTCATGCAGCATGTTCCGACGTTGTGGCGAGCACCGCTGTGTTCCGTCAAGTGTTGACATACATAGGATGCCACCAACTTAGAGTTCAGAAATTCAGGCTCGGAAATATCGATGCTTACGAACTTGACCATGAGAGCAGGTGCTCAGTTACAGTATGGATCCTAACACTGCTGCTGTAACCTACAAAGTACATGTTGTGACATGTAGATGTAGAGTGGATGTGGTCCGCGAAGTTTCTACTTCTCTGGTGTACTACTTCGAAGTACGTATCGCTTATACCCAATCAAGATGAAAATGCTACCAACCACCGCTGTAAAATAGTCGTGGGGAGTCTTTTGGTTTTTCAGAAAAGCATTTTGTGCCACACTGCTTGTTGTGAGGAAGTTCTCCCGCAGGCACAAAACAAAGCGAAAATCGTGCGAGTCAGGAAAGGCACTACAATAATGACCACGAGGGTTCATTGACGGTGCCAACCGGCTGACCGTGTGTGCGTGTGTCGTACCATGTATACTGGACGTGACCTTCTGACCCATTTCGGTATATGTTCTCTACAACAAACTCAAAGAACAGCAGATTCGTGTTTCGCTTGTCCAGCACATTCTTCGTGTCTGAGTGCTTCGCAAATTGAGTCGCGCCTGTACAGCAGTGCAACCACAGCTGTTGCAGGACAATTCGATTGTTCCACACTTTATTCTCGCACCCCTGTCGGCACGCTCAAATCAACCCCATATTTGTCATGGGCCATTCTCACGCGTAAAGGCGGACACTCTCACCTATACTCCCACGCTTCACCCACCCCCCGCCCTCTCTGTTTTCTATGATACCAGACCTGGCCGACACGAAAATGTCACCTCCCCCTTTTCTGTTGTTGCAAACATGAGCACGGTGAGACGTGCATGCTGTACTGATGCAAGTGCGGCGGAGTTGCTTCTGCTATCATGCCACACACATTGGTCAGCCGGTTAGCGCGGTCGATGCTAATAATAAAAATACACACAGCCGCCGCAAGGGCACTGGTGCAATCACACCGCTGACCAGAGGTACAGGTCAGGTGTGCAAGCTGCAACGAAAACAAGCTAAAAGGAACGAGGCTTGCAGGTCGTCACCTTCGGCCGATATCCTAGCGCTCGACGTTCCAACAGCGGCCGTCCATGGTCGTGACCCACTGGTCTTCTCGCGGGGAATGGTTAGACCGCATTCATTCGCAGACCCGACACGCGTATTTCACCTCTCTCCTGTCACCTAATTTACTGCCCCGATAACAAGAACGAGGACTTGTCTCTCTCTACGAGAATGAGAGGACGCCAACTTTGTCTATAAAGTAGTCAAACCATGCCCACGAAAAATGGAGGGCGAGCACAAGGAGCCCCCAGTTCCCTTTTGAAGCCAGAGCGCTCTCTGGACTGCCCAAGGAGATGAGGACCCCGCGCCAGCGTCCATGATCGTGCGGCGCAAACCGCATGATGCCGGTCTTCTCGACCGCGACTACCTTGTGCGTTTCTTGCTGGCGCGCGCTTTCGACGTTGGCGTTTGCTTCGCCGGGGGTTTGACCGCCTTGCGGCTCCTCCCACGGTTGCTGCTGCTGCAACGCCGTAGGGATGCAACGAACGACAGGCACTTGTGACGCTCAGCGGAAGACGCCACCAAGCACAACAATGCCCGGACAACGAAGGTAACACAAGGAAGCAGAGATCCGGCATGTTCGTCCTCAACTGGGATCATTGATAACTTTGCTCGGAAGAAACGGGGCCGTGTGTTATTCTTCGAGTACGTCAATAGGTGGGTGGGCGCTTGACGACAGGTCTAAACTTACCACAGATGGGGTGATGTTGGCCCTCTAGCCTTAACCATCGACGGAGATCAACTCGTCGGTCAGACCATGATACCCAAGGGGAGCACGAACAGCTACACGACCCCAGGATACTTGGGCTCTTTCAGCAGATATTCACGAAAGAGCTCACCACGATATCCAGCATTCTAACGACCCAACTCAAAATAACCTGTTGTCACCGTTCAAAATGATGTGTGCGTACCGTGCGCTAGTTGGCGCAAATGCCGCAAACATGAACACGTTCCCAAAAACGCCCCCACCAACCAACCTCTTCACGTCGAAACGCCACCAACCTACAGGAAACAAACAGACACCACGTACGGATTGTCTCTCACCTGTGGTCGTCATCGCTGCTATCGTCCGTGCTCTCCCGCGTCCGCTTCTTGCCTTTGCCAACCGCCCTGCGCTTCTTCCCGGCCCTCTCTTTTCTTTCCGCAGCACCCCCGCCACCGCCACCGCCGTCGCTCGCGCTCGAGCTCTGTTCTGCCTCGTCGTTGTTGTCATCGTCGTCGTCTTCGCCAGAGCTGTCACTTTCGACCCCGCTGCTAGTCGTCGCGGCCTGCGCTTTGCCACCCTTCCTCCCTGCCCCGCCCCGCCCGCCCTTTTTTCTAACCACCGTCCTGCCGCCGCCGCCGCCACCGCGCCGGCCGCTCTTGACGCTTTCGTCGCCGGTGTCGTCCGCCACCGACGCCGAGTCCGACTCTCTAGAGTTCCTGCGCCCGCTACTTGATCCTCCTCCTCCTCCTTTCTGCCCTCCCCTGCCGCGAGACGAGCTGCCACCGCTCGTGCCCCGGGAAGCGTGGTCCGGCTGTCGAGCGCGGGACGTGCGGGCGCCCGCGACCACGCTGTCGAAGCCCGGATCGGCGGTGACAAAGCCTGGTCGTCTCGCCTCTTCGATCACCTCGTTCGCGTATGTTCGTAGCTCCTGGTGGCAACGGAAACGAGCCGGCAACAATGCATGGGTGCAGGCGGAGCGGGGAGCACATATCGTTTGGCCTGTTGTGACAACGCTTTGTTGTCAGCCGGATGTACCTCTTGTGTGTGTGAACGGGAAGTTCGTTTTACTTTATACCTGCTGGACAGGTAACGGCGTTTTCAGAAAATGTGGAGACCAGGGTCAGGACCGGTTTTGATGTGGAGATAAGAAGACGACAGGGGTTTCAAGAATGAGAGCAAGCTCAAACGCGCATGATTTTGTATGTGCTCGCACCTTGCTGTAGTCGAAGTATGGATCGTCCTTCCCGTTGAACACCATCGCGTTGTTGCACATCACGCAGAGATCGCGGCTCATGTCGTCCAACGACAAGAGGGCGCCTGACATGATGCGCTCCCTGATGAGAGAGAGATCCATGGGCTCCTTGATGATCTGTGGGAAATTGTTAGGCCAAAAACACCGAGCGTGGGCAGGCAAACGCCGAGCGAAATTCTGTACGTGCATCGACCACGCAGCCAGACAACACACAAAAAGCTGGATAGAAAACTTGCAACCACAAACAGGTTGTCCGGCAAACCGTGGTTTCATGGTAAAAACCACCCGCAGAATTCCACGTCATGAACAAGCAGGAGAAAACGCCTACGAGCATCACCAGAAAAGGAACCGAACCTATGCACACGGTATTACTCCGCGATGTGCGCAATCAGAAACGCGCTAAAACAGACTGCTGAGTCCGCATCACGGCACACCCGCAAACATTCTGCACTTGCCCGTCAGACAATCAGGAAGACCGCGTGGAAGAGATGGAACTTGCTCTCGGTGCTACATCGCCTCACTCACCTCCTCGTAACCGGGTGCGTCCTTTGGGTTCACGGCCTTTCGGAAGATGATGGCAAACTTGTGCCTGTACACCTGGGGAATCGGAAATGCCAATGAGGATTGAGGGCTTGTTGGGCAAGCCGGATAACGCGCCCTTCTAGACCCAACAATTTTCTGTCAATCAGTTACGTGTGATGGCATCCACCGATACGTGAATGCGACAATGAACACGTCGAACCAGAGTGTTGTCCAGCCGTACTTTCACGTTGCTCGGAGGAACTTGGTTGTAGCCTTGGTACGGGCCCCATCTCAACCCGCGCGGGAAACGCCTCCTGGTGCTACTAATGTTACGACACAATCCGCTGGACAGGAGCCGAACGTTGCGTCACGCAAAACACAACAGCAAGGACATGGCCGGACACATCCCGAGAGCCTTGGCCGGGGGCGGTGGGCAGAACGAAAGCACTCACTCGATCCCACACTTCCAACGCGATTCGGCGGAAATGGGCAGCATCCACGGAGTCCGCTCGCTCCTTCTTCCGCTGCTCCTCCTCCAGGCCGTCCTCGCCCCTCTTACCATCCCCCTTCTCCTGCTTCTCTTCCTCTTCTTCCTGCTCCTCGCCTTCTGTCCCTCTCGAGCGTGGTCTCCTATCGCGAGCCGATTGCTCCGCGGACCCATCTCCCACAACCCTCGGCCGCTTGCGCCCGCGCTTGCTTGCGCTACTTCCGGTGTCTTCCCCCTGTTGGTTGGCCCTACCGCCGCCCGTGCCTGACTTCTTCTTCCCTGACTTCGGTCCCGGCGCCCCAACAGCGGGTGTCGCCGCTGCGCCGCCCGCTGAGTCGTTGCTACTACCTCTATCCACCCCGCCGCCACCGGTCGCCTTCCTCTCGTCACTGCTACCGCTACCGTCGCTATCGTCCGCCGCCCCGCTAGCCCAAGCAGCACGAATCGACGCTGAACCGCCGCCCGAGAGTATTGGCGGACGATCCCGCAACGGGGAGTCATGCGAGCTGCCGGGTGCACCGTTCTGGCCCTGGTGCACCGTCGTTGCTGCTACTGCTGCTAATGTCGCGGTTGTGCTTTTCGGGATTCGATGCTGCTGCTGTAGCGGCCGCCGCCGCCGCCGCTGCTGCCGGAAGAGGAGGAGATCGGTCCCCATTCTTTTTTGGTTGTTTCGCTGCCGGAGTGGCTGCCGCTGCTTCCGACATCGTCGCTGGCGTGCTGCCCCCCCCCCCCCCCCCACTGCCACTCCGCCGATGCGCCCCACCATTCGAGCCGGAATCCCCTTCCTCGTGCTCTGGGTGACGCCGTCCCCGCCCCGATCCATTTCCTCCCGCCGCCGAATCGTCCTCTGCCTCTCTCTCCCCTTCCACCTGCCCGTCCCCACCTTGGCCCTCTCGTTCTTCATCCTCCCCTCTCCCCCCCCCTTCCTCCTCTTCTCGATCTCCTCCTTCACTGTCGCTGTCGCTAAGCCTGGGCGCCGCCGGGAGCTGCAGCCCGCCCTCGACGGCGCTTGTGAGGGCCGAGTGGAGATTGGGGTCTGGGACGGGCATGGCAGCTACCTCGCGCAGGCGGTGGTCATGCTTCCCGGCCTTGATCTCGCCGATCTCCGCCTGGAGCAAGCTGTTTCGTGCGTCACAGCAATTTTTTCGTTGTTTGTCGTCATCCGTTTTAGTCACACGCGCCAAGAGTACGCATATACCGGGTGGGCATTCCGAGGGCATTCCGACGGGATCACGGGGCGGGGAGATGCAAGAAACGGACGAATGCCCTCCGGACCTAGTTGGGTTTGTTAGTGCCTTCCTCTTGTGGGTCTCTGTGTTATCTCGTCGTCAACATTTCAAAATTTGACAACCAAGCAAAGGGGTGCATCATGTGCGCAAATGCATATGCATAACACACCAATTGGACCTAACCTCTTATATATCGACATTTCGAGAGCCCAACGATGGAATGCAACAACAGCAACGACGTGTTGGGTCTAACAAGGACTGGGACATGATTCACCTCAAACACAAACCTTCAGCCATGTCTTTCCGTTGCTACACAGAACATATGTACATACATACATACATACACCTACCGAGCGACCGACAGCAGCGGACCACCTGCTGTGAGGAGGGGTATTTTCTGCTGCATCCCTCTCCGCAAAACGTCTACCGTGGATCTTTGAACGGTACAACAACGCACCCTCTTTTGCTGATGCGGCTGCTGAGGACTGCCGCAAGAAGTGCCATAAAAAGCCGGCCCAACACCGGCCGGGACAAATCTCCACACTCACGCGTGCAATCTCTCAAACCGGCCCCATTCCCCATCAAACAGCCGCTGTTGGATCTCGCGGAGGAAGGACAGAGCAGAGGCTTCGAAATGGTACTACTTAGTACTTCGCGTTTTGAATTTTTGGAAAAGAATCAAGAATTTCAGCGGTGGGGGCGCGTGTGACGGAGTTTCACCCTCTCTCCCCGCGGGGCTGTCGACAAAAAAGTTCGCTGAAATCCACACACACGACGCGCCTTTTGCATCGTGTTCAAATCGTTGGCAACAGGGCCTTTCTGACCTGATGCACTGGTCGAATCGAGGTAGGTTGGTCTCGATCTCCTCCATCATCTTGCCCAGAGCAGCTGCAGCACACACAGGCAAGGCACGGAGCAGGAGACACAGCAGGAGCAGCAGCGGGTGCGAAAAACGAAAAAAAAATGAGGTGTGTGTGTTCGTGTGACCCGCGGCCTGCTCTCACTTTTCTACATTGCAGGCGGTCAAAACGGTCCCTCTCTCACCTTCGTCCTCTTCCATGGCCCGTGAGAGCCTCACACACTAGCAGGCATAGACCGCTGACTGTTTCGGAGCTTCGCGTTGGTTGACCACGCGAGATGACCTGGTGCGGCGTCCTGGGCGCTGCTAGCTCGAGTAGAGGGGGGGGGGATAAAGCTGGGGGTTTCGCAGAAACGTTGTATTTTTCACGCTTGCAAGAAGGCGTTATTATTGTTGGTGGTTCAAATAGGAGCGCAGGGTTCCTCTGAGGGGGTGAGATTGGCTTTTTCACTGCTGGCATTTTCCGCGCACGTCTTCGAGCCACACAGCGCTGCCTCCCATACCAGCGAAGCATTCATCTCGGGTCTTAACTGGGTAAGCCCATCGACTGGGCATGGCCTTCCTGGGCAACAGATGGTTGTTGCGGTCGGCATGTTCTCCTCCGTTCGCGATGTCAAGGAGGAGGATGTCGGCCGCATCGAACAAGATGTTCTCCAAGATACTGATCGCTAATCGGGGAGAGATTGCCTGCCGCATCATCAAGACGGCCAAGCGGATGGGGGTGGCCACGGTCGCCGTGTACAGTGATGCTGACGCCAATTCTCTTCATGTAAGTACAGGCCTAAGGAACACATCAATTTTCAATTTTCCGCGAAAGATACATACGTGTCCGTTGTGTAGGCGTTGGTAGACTATGTGCCTGCTGTAGACAACAGGACTGGCATACTGACTGCTGTAAGAACAGGCAGGGTTGAGAGTGCCTCCGCTACGGCTCGGCGCTGCTGAGAGCCTATTGCTGAGTACATCCCTACCACGAAGACGTGGGCAGTAAGAGTAGATCGACCTAGATCCAATTTTATGGTACATACATGGTCGTGTGTGTTCGTAGCGCGAACCGCGAGCAAACGCTGCTACATAGGTACACGTAGCGATTTGTTCTTCAACTTGCCCTTTCCGGCTGAAAGCCTTCAAGCTTTGCCGCGTCCTTGCTTGTGTTTGCGATCTTTCCATAACGATGGACGACGGTTGGTATCTTGCGGTAGAAATATAGAACTTCGACCAAAACCCCCATGATAGTTTGTCACCATGGAACGGGATTGTGCACAACAGAGCACGACGCGCGCGAGGGAGATACTTTTTGCTCCGACGAGACAGCAGCAGCTTCACGGGTTCAACTTGTTGAATTTGAAGAACGTGGATCCTTGTTGGTACTACTGCTGTGTAGATACCACCCACAGAGGAACCAAGAAACACGAGCCAAGGGCAAATTATGAAGTGTTCGTTCTCACGGGCAGAACCTGTAATGGCAGTCTGTGTGTTTCTCTTCGCCTTGAAACTACACTGCTACATGCACTGCCACAATCTGGCTTGAAAAATAGACGTAAACATGACTTCCGTGTAACAACGCCAAAGGTGGCTCTCGCCGATGAAGCTATCCGAATCGGTCCGCCGCCGGCGCTGGAGAGCTATCTCAGAGGAGACAACATCCTGGAGGCGGCTACACGGAGTGGAGCACAGGCAAGGATGCAGTATAATAGTAGCCTTCGCGAGGATATTGAGCTTGGTATTAGTAGGGGCAACGGTGTGGGTTGGGGGTGACGGTTAGGATTGGGTTACGAAGCCCCCTCTTTATGACAAGAATACCCTCGCGAAGGCGGTCCGCAGGATGTCGTGTGGATTTCCTTGCAGGCGAGGCGTGGTGAACCTTTTGCTGCAGAACACATGGTATCTGTTTAGTTATTTTTTCTTTCTGGGCCAGGTAGCGGGGACTATTTTGTACCAGTGGTTGGCCCTTTCCTTCGTCGTTCGACGATTGTACCACGGCATGAGGCACATGAACGGGCCGGGTGTCACCAGCATGCAATGAAGATGACATGTAACGTGTTACTACTGTTGCAGATTTGTGAAGGGTGCAACTGGTGAGCGTCTTAGGTTCAGCAGCATCTTATCACCCCACACATCGCCCGCCCCGCGTGCATAATGTACCCCCCCCCCCCGCGCGCCCCGATCCCACGAAACCCCTCTGCCCAACAAAAGGCGGTACACCCGGGGTATGGCTTCCTCTCCGAGAACGCCACCTTTGCCAAGCAGTGCGCCTCCGCGGGGGTCACGTTCATCGGCCCCCCTGAAAAGGCCATCGATCAGATGGGCTCGAAAAGCGTGGCCAAGGCCATCATGTCAGACGCTGGAGTTCCCGTATGCCCGGGATACCACGGGGAGGACCAGAGCGACGCTTTTCTGGAGGAAGAAGCAAAGAGGGTGGGGTTTCCGGTGATGATAAAGGCGGTGATGGGCGGCGGGGGCAAGGGTATGAGATTGGTTCAGACGCCAGAGGGTTTCCAGTCGGCTCTGGAGGCGTGCCGGCGGGAGGCGGCAGCGGGATTTGCGGATGACCGCATGCTGCTTGAGAGGTGTGTGTTTCTTGGTGTAGTAGAGGATGACTTGTATGGGATCGTGTGTCTTGGGAATGACGTCGTTGAGGAGGGCGTTTTCCGCTGAACTGCTATGAAGTGTGGGCTGGTCAGGTACTGGTTTTGGGGGAAACAGGAGTACGCCGAGGTGCCGCCAGTGGTCTTGACGTAATAGGGGAAAGGGTTGCGAATTTTGTTCGGTGCGGGCTACGCAGTGATGCCAGGTATGGACAACGAGCCATGTGCAGTCTACTCCGGTCGTCTCCTCTACCATGCTCCAATTCATCTCCACTATACTTAAGACCTTTGGAATCCCGGGTCACCTCCCTTTGCCCCCCTACCGAAAAAGATATGTAAACGAGCCGCGACACGTGGAGGTACAGGTTTTCGCGGATACCCTTGGTAACGCGGTTCACCTGTTCGAGAGAGATTGCTCGGTGCAGAGAAGGTAAGAAACGATTAAATGAGACCGGCTGAGCCATGAGATTTTTCTTGCCTAGAAAAGCATTTAGCTGTGAGGATGGTAAGGACTGCTATTTCGCCAGAGCTCATCATGTGTCGTCCGGAAACGCTTGGGTTGGAAGTGACGAACTACATGTACAAAGCATGAAACAGCAGTCTGCCACGCGTTGGTCAAGGCACCGTTTCCTAGGGAGTCGCACGACAAGAACACGTTCCGGCATACCATCCCACCCCATGCCCTACTCCTTGGTTGACGTTGAATCCCCGGGGCTTTCGAACACCCGCGCGCTGGCTTCAGGCACCAGAAGGTTCTCGAAGAGGCTCCGGCCCCGGGTATTAGTGATGCTACGAGGGCTGAGCTGGGGGAGGCCGCGGTGCGCGCTGCTAAGGCGGTGGGCTATGTCGGGGCCGGGACGGTGGAGTTTCTGATGGACACGAGAACGCAAGAGTTCTTCTTCTGCGAGATGAACACGCGCCTGCAGGTAACGGGGCGGGGGGGGGAGGCGCGAAGAGGGCGACATGCTCTTGTTGCTTAACGCTCTTCCCGCGTCTTGCCGTTACCGTTGAGGGCCGTCCTGTTTTTTTACCTTTTTTACCTTTGAAGGAAATGTAACATGACTATATCAGGTGGTGATGTCAGTTAATGTCCGGTGAAACCATCATAGCATTCTATGCATGAGAGGAACACGGGACGTTTCGAGGTCGCCGATGCCGACACCGATTTTGTGTCTCATTCGAAGTGTGCCTTGTGTGCCGACTCGTACTTCCAAGTGCCCTGGCCGATGTGAAGGGCACCACAAAACGCTCTCGCGACGAGTCCAGCGGTGACTGATATCCGCTCAAACGCGTCGTCCTTTGCGTTTCGACAGGTGGAGCATCCAGTCACGGAGATGGTCACGGGTCTGGTGAGAACGGGGGCAAAAGGGAGAAAAGGGAGGGTGCGGGGGAATAGCGTGTTTGAGCTGCTCGTGGTCTCTTCGATACAGCATCAGGGTGCAGAGTGCAGAGCGTTGTTTTTCCCTACCTTGCAAGCCAGACTTCTTTTTCTCGGTCCCGTTGGGGCGCTTGGCCCGTAGGTGCATCTAGATTCCTGACACATGCGGCGGTTTTAGTTCAGTACCCCTCGGTGTGCCGCGCTACAGTTTTAGCAACGCTCCTTTTACCAGAAACTACAACCAACGCGCGAACGGAGCATCCAGATCAGTTTTCCCAGGGGAACCCTGCATCACGATACACGCAGGAGCGAACACATTCGATGAAACATTAGCCGCCGCCCCCCCCCATCAGCGGAAAAGGGCAAAGCACGAGCAGGGAAGCTGCACCCGATACTCGCAACCCGGCACCTCGATACACGCATCGAATTGACGGTTTTGAAGAGCGTAATCGTACCGCCGCTAGAGCACGCTGGAGAAGTATGGGAAGGCAATAAGAAGGTAGTGAAAGAACTCGAGGCGGCGCAGATGAAAGCAGCGAAAATCATCCTAGGATGCTCTAAGCGCACAAGTAATGCAGCCGTCAGGGCAGAATTGGGGATCCAATCCCTACGGTCGGGAAGAGACCCAAGGAAGCTGACATGGCAGTATCGCATGTGCGGGGTGGGAGAGGAGAGATTGCCGAGAATAGTATGGGAGGCGAAGTGGGCAAACAAAAAGAGGGGCAGACAACCCACGGAATGGGCCAAGGTTGTAGACGACGTATGGAAGGGGTTAGACATCGACGAAGATGAAACGCTGGAAACGGAGGGTTTACAGGGGTTCAAGGAGAAGATATCTGTTGCTTGTGCCGAGAGAGAAGAATCTAAGGAAAGAAACCAAGGATAAGGAGGGTCTAGAAGTGTACGGAATGTTGAAAGAAGGAATAGGGTTCAAGGATTACCTACATGGACCAATGTATGCAGGGACATAGGCCTTCGAGAACGTCGACGAAGACATAGGACGGTAGACGACGAAGACGACAAGTTCAAATGTGATTGCGGCTTCGAATCCGGAGACCGTGTTCATGTAGTCGCGGAATATCCGTGGTACGAAGAGGAGAGGGAAGTGTACATGACTGAGCTGGGAAAAATACAAGGGACGTACAGGGAGATGTTTGAGGCATGGAATAGAGAGGAGAGGACGGTAGCTGTACTGGGGAGTAGGAAGTGGTTTGAAAAGGCGGGAAGGCGTATCGCTAGGATAGACAGACTGGGGAAGACATTTTTGAGCCACCTTTGGCAAAGTAGGAAGGAACGATTGGCCATCG